AAAGCCAGTGGGCCAGCTGAAGCAAGCCTAACCAACCAACTCTCACAGCTTTGAACAGCTTGCAGCATTAAAACAAAAGAACACATTGATAATTCAACTCAGGAAGGGGTTTGTCAAATTTGGGGCAAGTAACCAAGATAAATGGTCAAAGAGACACACAGCGGCCATCACATGTAAATCCATGATAGAAATCATGAGCTAAAGACTTTCTCGGATTGACTTCTTCCACCTAGCAGACAAGGACCAGACTGAGATTCCTTCTAGACCCTTTTGTTCCTCACAGAACACACCCTCACATTCACAGAACGACACAGAGACTGTCTTTTACATGACTAAATGCATCAGATCAACCAAATGATGCTAAAAGGACTAATGAACAAATATCATTCTGATGCATAACTTTATATGATGAATGTAACCAACACATCTCTCATGTTCTAATCACTGATTGTGTATGTCATTTTTAATAACTATTAAATAGTTTATAGGTTTATATTCATGTTTGGTATGTTTGAGAATTGAATGATGATATCAGTCAATTCTTAGTCAAATTTATCATATTCTTATTATAGAAATCATGTGTAACTTACACTTTGCAAGAGTGGGAAAATTTGGACCATGTGACTAATAACACGTTGATTTATGTATTGGAAGGAGAAAAAAAGCAACACCCTGAGCTAAGACAATGTCTAATTGGTCAAGACACCATTTGAGATGTGCCCAACAGCCGAGTTTAAAAACTCAGAACACCAACAAATTTAGCCTTTTGGGCTTTTGCCACCACTTTCAAATTCATTAATAATTATGAATTTTTCCACTTATGTGTTAAAATGTATGGTGTTTTGTGTCAAATGAGACCATTTTTATCCATTTAGCCAGATGTATGTGGGCAAGGGACCAAAATCAGTAAAACAAATCCAAAATATGCTGCAGAGCTGAAGAGGTCACGATCACAGGTAAGAATTACACATTACATATCTGACGCGAGACACTTCAACAGTTCCGCCCAGTGTTGTCATGATTATAATTGTTATTTTTCTTCTTCAGAGGAAGACAACAAAGAGATAGATTCCAGTCAAATTGACAGACATTATCACTTTCAATCTGTTGAATTGGACCTGTTTTTGAATGTCTACTTTGTTTTGCCTCCAGCTAGAGCTGTGACGTAATCGTGATGTCAGCCCTAAAAGGGTCTATGGATTTATGCATAGTGGTCACGAGGTAGCACTTAACCGTATGTTGCTTAAATGGCTCTT